ACGATGGGCGATGCTAAGGCCGTTCAAAAAGGGTCCGCAAGAGAAAAAAGGGTTGAGACCAAGTAATCATAACCACTTTACGTTGGAAAGTCGTTCTAAGGCCACCTGAGATCCTCAACTTAGGCAAATTTATATTCAGGGGGCCCCACAGCAAAAGGTGGTGATGGGTCAAAAAAAATTTTTTTGTAAAAACTTCATTTTTGTAAAGATTAGATTATTTAGAACACATTATCAAAAAACTACAGAAAAAATTTTTTGGCCCATAACTCCTTTTGCTGTGGGGCCTCCCAAATGTCGATATCGATATCAAACACTCATTTAAATTACATTACATCACAAAAAGGTTTATTCGTACCAAAAAATGTACCCGAAATTAAGCACCCCTTATAACAAAAAGGGGTGTTTAATTTCGAAACGATATCATTTGTTTACTTAGACTTCGGTAGATTTTTTAACCTAGAAGGAACACCAGTTGGCGTACTTTTATTCTGTTTATTACCAAGTTTTTAATACATCTGTAATTACAAGTCTTTTAAACAGCACTTCTTTAGCTTTGCTTCTATTAGATATTGTTCCTCTTAGAGTTTTATTCCGTTATCTATTATATTTTTTAATAGATTTTTATATAACGCATATGGTAAATTTGCATAAGCCAAGAAACTTTTGTTAGGTCGTTACTTTGGCTATTCTCTATTTTTCCACTCAGCGAGTTAAGTTTTCCAGATATTGAATATCTTCGCTATGTGAATCGAAGTATGAAAAAGACTCAATTTCCACTTGTTAAAATAATAAAGAATTTACTAATTTGCCTTCACTTTCGGCTTTTTTGTGGTTCTTATCGGTCACGGTCACGGTCACGGTCATAGAAACATCACATGTTCTGATTTATGTTGTTGGTAAAGATCATTCCAGAAACTTATGGATGTCTGTAGTCTATAGTTTAGGCTGATCTGCTGATTTTGGTCAAATGATCATTATGCAGCTGACATCTGACGTAAATGTTAAATCATATATACGTTTTATGACGTTCTCAATATCGATATGCTTATTAATAAGCATGCCAGTTTAGGCTCCCTCACAGAAGGATTGACTATCGGAAATTTAAAAATTCAGGGTAAAAATCGCTTATTTTATGAATGAAAACGACAACAAAATTCAGTTAATTATACGTATATGAATTAAAAATTGTAAAATTAATTAATACTGTATCATGAGAGTGTCAATCCTTCAAATCACGTAAATAGTTTTGTAATTATGACGTATTATATTTCGTCATCCTTTCGTCACCATAAACGCAGAATTAATATATATACAGTCATATATTTGCTTTCTCAAAATCACAAAAAAGTAACAAATTAAACTCACTTAAACCTTATTTTTACCAAATAAATCTTTTTTAAAAATGTCTGTTGCCGAAAATCTTGTTAATAACCCGGAGCATGTAGCACCGGACGGATCTCAGGTTGCTCATGTTACTCAACAAAGTTCAACTGCACTTGAGGGTGTTGGTGCAAATCCACCAAATCCAATTGGTATTTATTGAAGAAAATCATTTAATTTTTTTGCCCCAAATTTTTTTTCATACGTATTAAAAATCTTCATAGTAGATGAATCCACGGAAAAACAAACTACGATTAAAGAAGCTGTAAATGATGCTATTAACAAGACTCTTGATGCCGTCAAGGTATAGTATGATCTCACGTGGTTCGTCATATTAATATAATAATTATGATGCAATACTAAAATTGATTCGTTAATTATAGGAGACTATTGATAACATTGTAGGCATCAAAACTGATACTGACAAAAAAGTTGATGATTCTAAAACAAATGGCGAATCTAAAGAGGATGAAAGAAAATCATAAATTTGAATCCATTGTTACGTTTTAAGAACCTTTGTAAAAGTATATTCTTTATAATTTTGCATCATATTTGATATCTATATTCCTTATCTGAATCTAACGGTTAGGAATATGTCACATGTATATCGAATTAATAGTAAAAAATCATATTAAACATGGGTTTATTATATAATTTATTTTCAAATCTTTATTAAATAGTGTAAAAGATAATCAAAATTTTTTAGCATTTATTATTTGTCACATAATAAATCAAATTAAAATAAATTTGTTGTTTTATTTAAATTTTTAAAACCATTTATACTTTAAGAATTTAGCGTTAGAGAGAATTGTTTGAGGTGTATCGGTTATTTTCCTTTTAGATGAGTTGTACAGCGATAATAGTAATACCAATCAGATCGGTGTGCCTAGATTTGGTAATCTTCTGTTCGTTTTAGGAAAAGTATAGATTTCACAGAAGGAAGCGTTTGTAAAAAAATTACTATTAGACTAAGCTCAAATTAACTGCACTATCAAAATTTAGAACATATTAGGGCAAATAGAGGAGATATATAATTAGATTGAGCAAATTAACTGAGCGCTATTAGAAGACTCGTGGTGAGAAGTGATGCGCTGCTAACCCGTTCAAAAATTTTTTGTTTGTTTGTCGAATAAGGGTCTTTATATCTAAGAAAAAAAATATTATGTGTTAAAAGCCTACTAAAATCGCATCCATTAGTAATTACTAAGATGGTTTGTTTATTATTATTACTAAATTTATATATCAATTTTAGTAAATTTTATGATATGCTGATCATCTTACTAATGTAAAAAATTAATAAATATCTAATGATTGCAATGATATTAAATCAAAATATATTATTAATTAATGGATAGAAGCACGCTGTACTACCGGTAGTACATTGTACTACTTTGTGTTAGTTTTTAAAGGCAATTATCTGCAAATTTAAATTATTAAATATCTTTTTAAATATTTTTTAAAAATATCTTAAATATATATCATAATATATCTAAGTTGTTATAGTCTTAAGTTGTTTTTTTAATTTTATAAAATATTTTTTTACCTAGTATTTTAATCTAGTTTTTATATAATAAAAATAGATTTTTGAATATTTTTAAAATTTTAAACTTATTTTACTCAAGAATTTATTAGTTTAAATATTAAAATTTTAATTAATTTTAATAAATAAGGCCATGCAAACTTAATTAATTGGTTTTCATAACCCGGCTGAGTCAAAATTTGAAAATTTGTAAAAAAAAATTTTTGTATGTTTTAATAACTGGGTGGCAAAAATACTGTTCCTGATGGATCGTCGGTACTGTTCCTGATGGAGTTAAAAAAAAATTTATTTGAGTACTGTTCTTGATAGACGAACCCTAATCCTAACTTTATTTATATATTTCACTATAGTAGTATAGTATTTTAGAGGCCTTTTTTTAGAATCCTATTAGGAACAGTATGTAATTAACATTTGTTTCTTACTCTATCAGGAACAGTACTAACGATCTATCAGAAACGGTATTTTTGTATAAAGAACAAGATTATAGAAAGTTTTTCTGAATATTAATTATATTATTTTTAGTTATTCTGTTTTGAAGATTTTTGAAGATTTTTTGATGTAATTAGATGTCGTGCACCATAACTTTGCCAGTTTAATGTATTTTTAGATGCTAAACAAATTTAATTAGTACATAAAGTTAGAATTAATTAGTAAAATCTTGAGAATTATAAAATTTTGTAAAATTTTATTAATAAAATTCTATAAAATTTTATGATTCTCAAAAATTTACTAATTAATTCTAACTTAATATACTAAGTAAATTTGTTCAGCACTAAATAATATATATAAATATATTTGAACTTAGACTAGTCTGCAGACTTTGAACCAGACTCAGACTGAACTTACAATTGAGTCTGAGTCTAGTCTGAAGTCTGAAATTAACAAAATTTAGAGTCTGAGTCTGGTCTGATCTCAAACCAGACTCAGACCAAATCTAGAAGCACTAGTTTGTATAGTGGATGCTGGGTTTAGGTAACTCTACAAGGACAGAAGTAGGTAATAGTAATAGCTTTGGCTTGTAAATACTTGTTCTCAGACTTGATATAAGTTACTGAATCTAGATTAGCCAGATTGTAAAAATGAAAAGCTCTAGCAATGATGCCTTGAGGATAAAGTAGTCTTAAGAGAATAGGTCAAGAATCCAAGCCTTTTCAACTAACAAATATAGCAGAGATGTAATGGTGATACAGGTATAAGTTGCATTACAGAGAGTTTAATTGGATAATTCAAATACTGTAATAGTAGGTTACAAGTATGGCATCTAGTGTAAAACTTAGTAATAGGAAATTACTTAATTAGATGCTCAAAAGGTGTAGGTATAGCTAGAATGTACTCTCTAATATAAAAGGAGTTCCTTTAAGGCTTCTGCTACAAGCCCCCAACTTAATACTTAAATAAAAACTCTAGCCCCAAAAAGCTAGTTGTAAAAAAAAATAAAAATAAAAATAACAAATTTTTAATTAAATTTGATTATAAATTTAGAAAATTTTAAAATATCTATCACTATAATATAGAAAACTATATCTAAATCTTTGTTATAATTTTAATTAAAAATACCTCAATAACTATTTAATTAAATTTACAGTAATAAAATTTTTAAATCAAAGTTTAAAGCAATTATAAACAATAATATAATAAAATCAATATTTTTTTTAGAGAATTTCTATTTGTACACTGGGTGTATATACATGGATAATATAGATATCTCAAAATATTGATTATAAAACCACTTTTTGGCTTCTAACAAAAAAAATTCCTTGTGAAATTTTGGTATAAACTATATCTCGCACAATCCCAAATCCACCCTTACCCTAACCATAAGCAAGGTTTAATTTTTCGTTTGTAAAAATTAGTTTGATTGGGCATGTAATTTAATAAAATATACCCATGTATAAATTCTACGTGTAAACTAATAAATTTTCTTTTTTTTATTGTTAAAATCATTTAACAAATTCTAAAAAAATATAATGGCGATTATATAGAGGGTGGCTGTAATAATTTTATTACACAAAGATATTTGGTCAATATTACATTAGGCAATATATTCAACCTTGAGATATATATATACACATTATCACAATAATAAATACCGTACCGCACTGCCTTTAGTACCCGTTGTGACAAATAATGCAGATCAATTTTTTACAATATTATTTATGCGTGACATGTGATATAACAATTGTGTAATGCAAATGATTTTTAATTTTTCACTATGTAAAAAATCGTGTCACACTGGGTACTAAAGGCAGTGCGATACGGTACTATGATTTCAAAATTACGAAGCATTGCATATTTTTTTTTATTTCGAAAGATAAAAAAGTAAGTTGAAAGTTATTAGAATTTATTATATCCCTTACACCGTTAACTATACAGTAATCGCAAAACGATTCAGAAAAATAATGAGCAACAAATTTTTTTGAATAGCTAAATTATGCTTAAACGAATTCTATAGATAGCAAGATTCATTTTAAGTTCAAAATCTTCAAAAATGGATCCGCCATATATGACTGATTCATTTTTGATAATTTTAGTATGCTAATGTCATATCATTAATTTAAACCAAAAAAATGTTAAAAAGGATCAACCGTTCATGAAAATATCAGTATGATTATGATGTGGATTTGGAATTTATTAAAGCTTTAGAATTAGGCTTAGTGATCCGAATCGTTTAGTTGAAAACGACTTAGGAAAATTTAAAACAACTAACCAACCATAATCGATTTAATGCTAATCTGTGTTGATTTCTATAGTTTGATTGGCTAATCGACAAATTTAGTCACATGATATGAAAATCCAACAAATGAGCTGATTTTTTCGATTTATGTAGATCGTACCCAGTGTAATAAATTCAAAAAATTTTTATTGACGCAAACACAAAAAAGAAATCTAAACACGCTTTATATATACGGAGAGTGCTGATATATTTGCAAATTTAAATCTATGTGCGCTGCGCCTACTACGCGGATCCAATTTACATAACTGATCGTACCCCAAAAATTGGTTTAATTCTGGTCAAATTTGCAGATCATTTGGCCAAATAATCTGCAAATTTGACCAGAATTAAACCAATTTTTGGGGGTACGATCTACATAAATCGAAAAAATCAGCCCATATGATTATGTTGGATTGGCAAAATTTTTTTTACCAACTAGGAACACTACTTCCGACTCTAATTTTAATGGATAGAAGCACACTGTACTACCGGTAGTACATTGTACTACATTGTGACGGTTTTTGAAAACTCATATCTGTCAATTAAACAAA